GACCAGGGCAACGGGCTGAAGCTGGAAGAGGGGAGGTTTGGATGAGAAATGAGGAAGATTTTTTGGATGTGGAGGGGGGGGAGGCAGTGGCCCAGGTTGCCCAGAGAAGCTGTGGATGCCCCATCCCTGGAGGGGTTCAAGGCCAGGCTGGATGAGGCTTTGGGCAACCTGGGCTAGTGGGAGGTGTCCCTGCCCATGGCAGGGGGTGGCACTGGGGGGGCTTTAAGGTCCCTTCCCACCCAAACCACTCTGGGATTCAGTGAAGAGCACACAGGAGCAGGGGACAGGCAAGGAGGACCAGGGAGCAGAAGGGATGACAGGCTCACACAAATGAAGACAATGGAAGACCTGAGCACCAGGCTTTTTAGGCAGCCAGGGCTCAGCCAGGTGTCCCGCATCCTGCTCCATCAGGATGGTTGCTGGGGTTTTAGCCAAAGGAGGTAAAATGCACCAGTGAACCCAGGAACAAGGACAGGGCCTCTGATCTGATCCCAGCAACCCAGAGCTCCCATTGATGAGAAGGAGCGGGGACACTCTTGCAGCAGTATAACCCCCACTGGACACCTACCCCCTGTCCGGGTCCCAGATGTGAGCCCCACACTCAACCCTGGTGCATTACACCCGCGATTCCCCATTAGCTCACCCGTCTCCCAGCCCCGCACGGATGCAAGGGATCCATCTGCATGGGTTGGTTTCCATGGTGGGATGGTTTCTTGTCCAGCCATCCACCAACAAAACCTGTTCCTCTTCTCCATGCTCGTGTTCAAGTTTCCCATGTGGGAAGCGCACCCTTGGCGATGGCACCCAACGGCTTTCCTTGCCGCGCGTGTATCGTGAACACTCAGTGCTCGTGACAGGCACTTGGGGACAGGAGAGGGACGGGAAGCAAGAGGGATCTCACCCTATCTGCTTCTTCTTAACGACAAAGGGAGAAAAGTGGTGTATTGATCAAAGGTGGAGATCTGCCACGGGGTGGATACAGCCTGAGCGTGGTTTCAGGAAAGGCCAGACAGCATTGACACCTGTTCCTACTGGCTTGTGGCTCCAAACGAGCTCATCACAGCCTGCCATGCAGCTCGACACCATCTCTGCATCCCACTGCGCCCTTCCTGGCCACAAGGAGGAGCCAGGAGGCTGCAGGCTCTCAGCTCTGCAGCATCAAAGGCAGGTACTGTTTTCTGCCTAAAAAAAACATACACAAAGGGCAAAAGGGACAGGAAAATAATCCATGTCCCTGCAGAGCTGCTGAAATACCTTGCCAGGAACACAGAATATCTTTCTTTGGCCCTCCCTTTGCTCTTAAAGAACACCTGCAAAGCAAAACACGGGAAAAAAGCCCAAAAAGACTGAAACTGAAACCGTGCGCTCGGTGTCACCGTGAAGGGGGTGATTCAGGTTGAACCACTGACCCGAGAAGGTCTTTCTTTGCTCAGTTGTGCCTTGGCAGCACCACTGCCGGAGAGAGGCACGGGGATAAAATTTCCTCCGGTTGTGGCAGGGAGGGGGGTGGGCTCATAAACCCCCACTCCCGGCCACAAACCCCTCCAGCCACGGGGGAAGCAAGAGTGGAGCACAGCGATCCACAGGGCACCCGGCTCTGAACCGCATCTGGAGGGATGCATGGGGTGGGGGTTTCCATCCCCTGCTCTCCTGCACCGGGTTGGACCCGAAATGCACCCCCATGGGAAGCGAAGGGCAGAAGAAGAAGTCAAAGCCTTTATTCCTCCTCCCTCAGCAAATCCCTCTAAAATTAACCATTGCTTGGTCTGGCCGCACCTGCAGCTACAGGATGGTGGCTCTAGAGCAGTTGGATGTACCTCAGGAGACTTTGTTGAGGCATCGAGGCACCAAGGCACAGATCCTGACCCCATTGCGCTGAGCAGGGGAACCAAGCCCCAGAGCAGGAGCTGGACGGTGACAGCATGAGGCTTGGCAGGTCTGCGCTGTATTTTAAGAGAAGGCTTACACATAAACTCATTTTGTTCCCAGCCTGATTTGGGACAGCCCCGCAAGGCCGTGTCCCACCATCCCCATCAGAGCATCCTGGCTCCTCCAGCCTCTCCCCGTGCCTGCAGAGACCAAGATGGGCGGGGGGTCCCACAGCCAGTCCTGGGAGGACCCAATGGAAAAATGGAACAGAGGATGGATGGGGTGGGTGTGAAGAGATTTATCTAAGGGTCAGTGGACATGGAGAACAGTCCAGGGGTTTTCCCTTATCACCTTCTTTGGTCCATGCTCCATCAGCGTGGGAGGCTGGTGCATCTTCAAATGTCCTTCTCCAAAGAGGCACACGGGATTTGAACCAAAAACCAAACCAACCAGGATGTGGCATCACCGTGCTGACACCGACAGCATCCCACAGCCTGGGGTCTTCCATCCCTGAAGGGAAGGACATCACATCCCTTCGGCCCTTGCAGGGACAGAGCAGGTGTTTTGGGAGCTGCTGAGCTGAAGGACGGGCAGGGAAAGGACGGGCAGAGGAAGGCTGCCACCTGCTGTCCATGAAAACCTCTCCAAGTCCTAAAACGGGAAAAAATCCAGAGAATCCAGATCTACATCATCTTAAAACAGGCCCATGCCCCCATGGTGCAGTCCCCCAGGGTGGGAGACCCAGCAGCAACTCAGCCTACTTGGAACAGGGAGACCATCAGGTCCCAATGGGCTGGTGATGCAGGACGTTTCTCCTGCATGTCCTGCAGGACATTTCTCCAACCCACTCAGACACATGGAGCCACGATTAAGAAAATCAAGAAGGAACACGACACGCACTGCACTGGCTGAGCTGAATTTCTCTTCTCCAGATAGCTTGTGTGCCTTCCTGGGCCAGGGGGACATCGGAGGCAGTGTCATCGTGAGCTAATTTGGTGGCATTAATAAATATCCCATCCCAGTGATGGGTAGGAGATCTGGACCTCTCCTCCGAAGGTTGAGCTAATTAATCTCCTACCTTCCTCCTCTGATGTCAGGCTTTCTCATAAGGCCATTGTTGGCCCTAATTAAAAGGCTCTTCAAGATGAGTGTCCCCCGAACACCAGCCATATTTTGACAGTGACAATAATTACAGAAATCTCGTTGGTAGAATAATAATAATTACTCAACCGCAAGAAGAAAGGTCCCAGGATGAGAGGACAGTAGGTGGTGGAGAAATGGGGACTTGGAGCCCTTGTCTCTTCTGGCAGCTGGTGTTGGGTGCAGGGGAAACATGTCCCAGCTCCTGAGAGTCCGTTTTCTCTGCCCATTGACCATGCCCGTGTGGAAAGGGCACACTCATCCCCCGAGCAGTGAACCGTAGAGGTTCCTTACCCAAGAGCTCCCCAAGTATCTCAAATCTGAACCAGAAACACAGTCTGCCATCAGTCCCCCGAATCCGTAGCCCTCAAAAGCTCATAGGACCTCCTAGTGTCTTCGGGGAGCCGGGGCTTTGCTCCGTGTCTGCCCGGAGCTGTCAGCACCCTCTGTCCAGGGCTGGGTCTGGTTCTTTAGGGCTACCCTCAGTTTTGCTCTTCTCCAGCCTTTTTCCCTTCGTTGGGCTTGGGGGATTGGAAAAGGATGAGCCCAGATCCCAAGAGACGTCCCTGCAAAACCACTGTCAGTGACGCTCCCCCAGCTCCTGGGCTGAGCTGGGATTGTCCCATGAGGAAGAATGCTGACCCAGCCCCGCGGCCACCCGTGGTGCCTCCCGTCACCCCCAAACTGGAGAAATTATGGGGAACGGCCTCGACTTCAGGTCTGGCCTCAGGGGACAAACCCAGGCTTGGATCTAAAGCGGGGTCTGCCCAGCTGGTGAGCTGTCACCCAAATTCTACTCTGCAGAAAGCAGCAGTGAGTGCTCGGGTACCCAAACCTTCTTTTACATTTTTGCTCTTGCTTCTTCTGAATGTTTTTTAACTCAAACCGAAGGTGTCTGAAAGGGCAGCCCCACGGGCAGAGGAATCATTTCTCCGTGCCAGATGCGCTGTGGCAATGAGGGGCCATCTCACCCCAACGGAGGAAACCGATAGGTCACTCCTTTGGGCCAAGAAGTGAAAAAAATAAAAAAAACCCAAAAGGTAATAGAAATAGCAACAACAACAACAAAACCCTCCTCGCTGAAGGCATGAGCTGAAAAAATACAGCAACAACGATATTTCTTGAAACAGCCCCACTTAAAAAATCCTGTAATGATTCATAATGACCCATCCGACTGCGAACAGGAGTACCGCTGACCTACCCGTCAGCTTTGAGCATCCTCCTAACTAGCTTAAAAGCGCTGGGAAGGAGTAGAGTTTAGCCACAACGAGCTCGAAGGAGGAAAATAGGATCTGGCTTTTCGGGGAACGGTTGTCTTTGCAGAAGGTAAGAGCCTTTTCCTCCCTTCTTTACCATCAATCTATAAAGAAATTAAACCAGAGGAATGGAAGTGCTTGGTGGTAGGCAACCAGAAGTCTGATATTCAGCCGGTAAGGGGTGGGGGCTGGCATCTTGCTTCCCCTGAACTGCAAAGGCATCCAGCAAAGATAAGAAATGTGAACCTCTAATTAATCAACTCTTCTGGAAGCTGCTTTTCTGAGCAGCTAATGGTCGGGAAAGTTCTCCAGCACTCTGGTGATAAGCTCAAGATAGAAATAGTGCTCCTGGATAGAAAAGGGGAGGTTCGCGATAAAGTTTATTGCAAGGAATTGTATCTTGAGATTGTACAAACCCGTTCCTGTGGCTGTGTGCCTGCACTGCAGCAAAGCTAGACGTGTGAATAGGTGACAGCGGGGATGCGATTTTCACATGCACCCATCAAAGTGCTGCCAAGACATTGATGGGTCACTGGAAGGAGGTTCCCTCATGCTGGACCAGTCCCATGTCACATCACCAGGGTCCCGCACGGGCTGGGGACATCCAATGGTGGTTGCAGCCCTGGACAATTCTGTCTCACCTTCTGCCTCCTCCAGAGAAACCGATGCAGCTCAGCCAGTGGCTGTACCTCTCCGGGCTGGTGTTTGCCGTGCTGATCCCGGCGGGGTGGCAGATGGGCCCCGAGGACCTGGGTGACACGTCCAGGTACGAGGCACTGGCAGAGTCGCCCAGGGGGCGGTGGGCGCAGGCAGGGGCTGTCGGAGTGGCTCAGCCATTCCCGCTGCTGCCCTGGCTCCAGGGCTATGGCAACGTGCCGCTTCCTTTTGTGTTTATCCGGACGAGCTCCCTCCTGGCTCTCCACCAGCCTGTGCAGGGATGTTGCCATGTTCCCCCCACAGGATTTCTCAGCGGTGTCACACCAGAGATGGGATGCACCGGGATGTGGCGGGGCAGAGCCAGGACAGGGCGATGCTTTGGGCGCTGGGCTGAGCCCCACTCTGCACTGGCGGCCGCGTGGGAGGAGAACCCTTTGGGGACCTTGTGCCATGAACCCAAACATCATTTCTCCATCCTGGAGCTGGGGGGTGTTGATCAAAACCTCGGGGTGGCACCATGCTCACCCCAAGACACCAGGGTGGAGGCACGAACCCCCCGCAGCCGAGCAAGGTGTAGGGCAAATAATACGAGACAGGATATTGCACACATTTGATGGCAGAAACAATCCTGGCTGGGCTTGGCAGACCCCCCTGTGAGTGAAAATAATTTTTTTGTCTTGTTCTAGCTCTTCTGGAGGATGCTCCACACAGTGACGTACTTTGCAGGACACAGCCCCTGCAGTGAGGATGCAGGATGCCACAATTAAACCGTGTTTTTCTCCCCCCGTCCTCCTCCCCAAGCAGATGGCAGTCCTACGAATCCCAAAGCGCCCGGAGCTTCGCATCCAACATCAAGCGCCACTCGGAAGGCACCTTCACCAGCGACTTCACCCGCTACCTGGACAAGATGAAGGCCAAGGACTTTGTGCACTGGCTCATCAACACCAAGCGGTACAGGTAAAACGGGGAGAGGAGAATGGGGCTGTGCCGGGAAAAAAACCCCCACCGCTCCACGAGCCCCCATCCCAATGGATAACGTACTTTTAGAAGTCTTCTCTCCACACATTTTCTGATTTTCGGCAGCTCCACGAAGAGGTACCTGCAGGAGGAGCCCCGCGGTGTCCCCTTCCCCGCCGCCTTCCCACCGCTTGCGTAAGTCACCCCCAATGGCAAACGTGGCCAATTAACACCGAGTAAATGAGTAATTTCAGAGCGCGGGCACACGTTGGTGGGTTTGGTGCAGAGGCAGAGCACAGACGCTGCGTCCCATTTTTGCTGGCTTGTTTAATAACATTAAACAAGGAAAATGAAGCTATTGGGGGGGGGAGTTAATAATCTACGATGGGAAGAGGCTGTTTTGTTCTCACCCTGCTTTGTTCTGACATTTCACACTTCAGTGTTAACGTGGGGGGATCGTTTGCGTTCATAGGGGACATCAGAACATTTCAGGCTCTTCTTCGCAAACACGAAAATCGGCACTGCTCCTCCAAAGCCCAGAATGGATTTTAGGGGGAGTTTCTATTCTGTGAAGCTCTTTGGTGTCCGTTTGCTTTTTAAGGTACAATTAAATGGCAAATCCAAGCATCAGCTTTCCAGCAGCATCAGCCTGGAGAAGGTGGACCCCTCGCCGGCCAGCAACCGGATGCTCCACAGGAAGGATTCACCCGTCACACACAGCCGCGTGAACCCCTTCAGTGTTTCCCAGCCACCTCCTAAAACCTGCACCCACAGACCAGCCTTCTCTCCACGCCTGGATTTCTGTTTTCTCCGTAACCGCTCCTGCAGGGCTGCAGATCCTGCAGCTTTCCCAAAATCATAATAAAACCTTTGTGAAATCCAGCAGCTGGTTCCTGAGGTCCCCAACCCTTCCAAGCATCCTGTCGGATGGGATGGCACTGGGCTCTGACCCTGGCTTGGCTCAAGGTGCCCTGTTTTCCTCTCAATTCCTTGAGTTTTGGGTAAAAGGAGAATCAGGATGCACCTGCCTGAGCCCACAGAGCTGTGCCAAAGGAGATTTGAAAGAAATAATTAAAAAAAAAAAGAAAGATAACTAGAACGTCTTTGGATTTAATTTAATTCCAATTAATTGTACTGTCAATGGTCCAAAAAAAAGAGAACCAAACCAGGGAGGAGGAACCGCTTGCTCTGGATGGGGAGGTTTCTTTCTTGTGGTGGCACCTTCATCCCCCAGTCCCATCTCTGAACTCCCTGCACCCCCACCCCGGCCTGGCAGAGGTGACATGTGTGACACTGCTGTCCCCTCCCTCCTGGACCCCAGAGCTCATTACAATTGTTTGAACAGAGAAATAAATAAAATAAAATTTAAAAACCCAATAAAATTCAAATACACAATAAAATCTAAAACCACAATAAAATTTTAAAAAATTA